GGACATTGAGGATTTCTGATTATTCCCATCATTTAAATTTAGTCCAATGCTATGGAGCTCATTGCTGAAGAGAAATCAGTGATTTATTCCATGTGAGGTTATCCAAGCTTGGATAAATCCCTGGTCCATTTTAGAGAGGATCTGGTGAGGAAATCAGGACAAACTGGACGTGTTTGTGATAGGGACAAAGGGCAGGACTCAAGTACACCTGGAATTCGTGACAACTTCCAAAGAACATTGTGGATTGATTTGATCTGACACTCACACACCTTGCACTGTTCCTCTCCAAAGGCTGGCAGGAAATGCAGCTGGGAGAGAGTTTTTCTCCTGCCCAAATTTATAACTGAGATGTAATAACTCTCTTCCACTATTAGAGGAATTTTCCCAACCCTGTCCAGTGTTTGTTCCTGAGGTAAAGGTAGGTGGCCACTGAAGCTGAGGAAGAGTGATAAAAAAATGGATACAAACAGATGATTTTTTAATTTTACTGTTTAATTCCATATTCAGGCACAATATTAAGAATTTTGAGGTACCTGCAAGGGAATTTAAAGTTTATCCCAAGTGCAGCGAAGGAAGGGGAGAGAGAGCTGGAGAGGGACTGGGGACAAGGGATGGAGTGATAGGACACAGGGAATGGCTCCCACTGCCAGAGGGCAGGGATGGATGGGATATTGGGGAAGAATTCTTCCTTGTGCAGGCTGGGCTGGAATTCCCAGAGAAGCTGGGGCTGCCCCTGGATCCCTGGAAGTGCCCAAGGCCAGGCTGGATGGGCTTGGAGCAGCCTGGAGTAGTGGAAGGTGTCATTGCCATAGCAGGGGTGGGGCTGCATGAGTTTTAAAGTCCCTCCCAACCCAAACAATTCTGTGAGTCCAAGAAGGGAGAAAAGTCCCTCAGTAGCTCAATTCCATATTCTGAAGTGTTTTTATTGTGACATTCCATGAGATGCTTCCAAAGGAATGTTTCAGTTTGTCTGCAATGAAGAATGGGGGAATGAGGATAAAATAAACAGCACTAGAACAGAAATGCACAGATTGATTTTCATCATGGCACAGAAAAACCCAAATTCTGAGTTACTGCAAAAAAACTTTGCAGCTTAAGGCACTGCAAGGGAACTGTTCTTGCTCCAGTTTCACTGGTTTGTGTGTTTTAGCTGAAGTTGTGTGTGGTACTTTGGAGAAAGGAGCAGGGCTTCTGTAATGCAAAAGAGAAATAGGCTGTTCATCATTATCCTCAGAAAAAGTTTATTTTAATGCTAGGTTGATTTTTCTGCATGTTATATAAAGTCCCTTTGTTTTATTATTTTCAAGAATTACCAGTGTGAAAGTAGTCCATGAAGTGAGAGACTGAAATAAACCATTTTTAGAGAACAAAGTAAAATTTGAAGAAAATCCATTAACTATTGGAAGAAAGCTTATTCATGCCTCTGATTCAAAGCTGCAATTTTAATGTAACCTTTGATTTTTGGAAATTGAAGCACGGAGGAGTTTTGAATGATAAAATATTTGCTATTAAACACAATAGGATGGTGTTTAACTGCTGACTACTGATGGAAGTACTACAGTAGGCACAGGGTTGTTTTCTGAAGTTTGGAGCAGAAATTTGAACAGGAATTTAAACAATTTATCCAGATGATCCCAGGAGGCTGCTGGGAGCCAAAGGAGCCAGGTTTCCCATGGGATCATTCCAGGGCACAGGGAATGTGGTGCTGCCCAGTAGCTGCATTTCTCCCCATGTGGTGTCTTTTCATCAGAAGATGGCAGCAAAATCTTATTAACTGCAGCTCTTGTCTCTCCTCACACATTTCCATCTCCAGGGACTGTGGGATGCTAGGAAGGGTCTGCTGGAGCCAGCTTTGACCCCATTTCCTCCTCCAGCCCTCCCAGACAGAGCCTGGTGAGGTAGATCAGATGTGCTGGGCTGGATCCTCTCCCTTCCTTCATTTCACAGGGCAGCTGCTATGAAGGTGCTTCCACAGCCACTCTCTTTGTGCTGAGTGGGAAAAACAGATCCCAAAAATGTCCTCAGCCTGGAGACAGGCTCTGCTCCGTGGGGCCCAGCAACAGGAGGAGGGGAAATGGGCGGAAATGGACGCTCTTTGGGAATTCCACCAGAACATGAGGAAAACCATCTGTACTGTGGGGCACAGATTGTCCGGGTGAACATCCCTCACTGGGGATATCCCAGATCCCTCTGGACACAGACCTGTGCCACCTGCTCTGGGATGGCCCTGCTGCAGCGGGAGGTGGCACCAGTGACACACTGTGGGGCCTTCCCACCTGGCCCACCCTGTGATTCTGGGGCCGTGTGGAAGCTCATCCCACTCAACTGGGGGCTCTGGTAGGAGGGTCCCAGCCTGGAGACCCCAGCCACGGCCAAACACCTCTGGGACATCCTGAGGGTGATGTTCTTGGCCAAGGGGTGAAGGCCCAGCTCTGGTTTCTGTCACTTGGCTGCACCAGCCGTACTTTGGGTGGCCTCTCTTTGTCAGGATCCCTCAGGATGGGCTTTCCTCGGCTCACCCATCCCAGCCCTGTGGCTGTGGGGTGACCACCTGTGGGCTGTGGATGGTCCCCTGTCCCTGCCATTGGCACAACGAGCCCAGCTGAGCTCGAGGCTCCCTGAGGGGGCTCTGGAGCCAAACCTCAGGTCTTCAGCTCCTCATTGCCTCTCTTTCCCCTCCACCAAGCTTTGCCCTGCTCAAGCAGTGCTGTATTTTGCATTTTGGTGCCTGTCCCCTCTGTTTTTGGGCCTGCTGTGGAGCTGAGCTTCAGCTGGAGCCAGCACCAAGCATTTGCTGGTTGCTTTAATCTCTTTAATCTTCCCTTGGCTCCCAGCTGCCTTTTGGGAGCTGAGTGCTCCTGTTGGAGCTCAGGCTTTCCTGGAGGGCTTTGGCTGCACGCTGCTGTCTGTCTTTCTATAGAAAGAACATATCCAGAGGCACCTTTCCTTTCTCTTCCCACAGAAAATGCCGACTGCACGGCTCTTCTGGCTGCTGCTGCCACACAGAAGTGACATATGTTTTTAGATATTTTAATAGGAAGTAATATTTGTGTACAATAATGCCTAGCAGCATCTGAAATATATGTAATTCATACAGGAGGCATGATTTGAGCCCGAAATATCTTCTTTATTTTTTTTTTTTATTTTTTTTTAAACCAAAATGGTCTTAGTTTAACTTCAAAATAAGCATTGAATTTCTCTGTGGCATTCTGGGTATTTTCTCGCTAAAGAAATGTCTGTAATTTCTGATCTGTAATTAGAACCCCATTTAATAATTGCATGTCCTGCAAGGAAATGTTTCTTGAGTGGGGCTTTGTTCTTATGCAGCTGCTGGAAGCACAAAGATGAGGACTGTAAGAAATAGTTCAGATGAAAACGAATTTGTGAGGGCAAAGTACCTTCAGAAGTGATCAGAGCTGCTGGAGGATAAGTGGAGTTGATCAAATTCATTTTTTTATCATATATAGTGTGGAGATGTGCATCTCATAAGCATGCATGGCATAAATCACTCTGGATGCAGAAAGATTAATTTTGGTGAGTGCTAATGACAAATTTTTATATAAAATTCAGCAGATCAAAGGCACTGTTTGAATAGCTTCTTTCCTCTAGGAAATTCCATCACAGAGAAAGCTAAACTAAAAATTCCACAAGAGTTTTCCTAGGGTTTCCTTCCACAAAAACCTTTATCAAGCATATTATTAACTTAAGGCTAATTCAGAATCTTTTTAGCCTTAAACATGAATAATTTCAGACCGACCTGATGACAGGTTCAAATTCTTTCCTAAACTATGAAGCTTAGCTAAAGGATCATATGTTCATTTCATTAACTTCTTCTTCCAGGCAATATTGTACCTTGGAAATGACTTAATTAGTTGAAACTCATGGCAAAGGTATTTTGGATAGCTGCCTGGACCAGGAGATGTGTGTAATACAGATCTGTATTTCTAGTTTGCGCTGGATGAATTGATCATATAAAAAGGTTTATTTCTTCAGGGAATGCTGAGAAGTTTAGAATCTATGGAAATGGCCAATTTCCATAATTGTGGGAGACAATTGCAGAGCTGATTCTGGGTCTCCCTACGAGCTTTGCTCCCCTGCTGTGCTGTGGTGTAGATAAAGGGGGATAGCCTTGGGCTCAGGTGACTGGGAAAGGGCAAATAATTTCCATTAAGAAATTCAGCTGGTTTAATTTTTTGGCTTCATTATAGAGTCATTAAAGTTGGAAAAGCTTTCCAAGACCATCAAGTCCAAGCTGTGCCAGATCCTCTCATTGTCCCCAGCCCAGAGCACTGAGTGCCATGTCCAGGCCTGCCTTGGACACCTCCAGGGATGGGCACTCCAAACCTCCCTGGGCAGCCCCTGCCAAGGCCTGAGCTCCCTTTCCATGGAGAAATTCCTGCTGATCTCCATCCTGAACCACCTCTGGCACAGCTGGAGGCTCTGTCCCCTTGTGCTGTCAGATGGTCACTGATTTCCTCCACAAAACATTCCTCAGTGTCATTCCTCATGGCACTGGTGGCAGAATGTGTGGTCACAGCTGGCCCAGGCAGGTGGCAGAGCTGCAGGCAGATGTTTGCAGCTGTAGAGCACAGCTGGACGCAGCCCCACATGTGCCTGGGTAAGGAAACAGCTTCACAGAGGATTTACAGGTACGCAGAGAAGCGTGCTGGAAGCTCTCTTGAAGGACTGGTGCTTAAATGTGGTCTGAAATATTAATGTGACCTCCTTTTCAGGCCAGGGGACTTTCTCTAGCACATCCATATGTCGAGGTCCCTGGGGACACAGGGAGGCTCAGGCTGGGTTGGGGTGAACATGACAACATTGAGATGTTTGACCTCCAGTGCTGAGATGAGTCCAGGCTCTGGCAGTTTCCTCCTTTGTCATTTCTTCCTCAGCTTTTCCAGAAGGAGATGTGAACAAGGGCAGCCAGGTTTGGTATTTTTACCTCCTATCACGGGCTGAGGAGTCAAACTCCACTGATTTATTTATTTTTTTTTTAGGCTGCTGCTGTACCTGCTCCTACTCTTCAAAAATTAAACTGAGCTCGCTTGAAATGAAAAGCAACAGCCCAAGCTGATAAATCCAAGAGGATGTTCCCATGTCCTCATCATTAAAGACGGATGTGCTCAGTCTGTATCTCCCTGGAGTGGAAATGTGTTGTTGGGCCCCTGCTTGGACTTCCAGGGATTGTGGGTTCATGGCATGCTGCCAACCCAGCTCTTCCTGCAGAGATTCCTTCAATTTCAGAGGCAAACCCACCACCTCCAGCCCTTTTAGGGCTTTTGCTGGTGTTTTCCATGGCCAAGGGCTGAGTGAACCTGCTGTTCTGTCAGCAGTGTAGGGGATCACCTGCACAACATGGGCTTCTGGCAAAAAGGGGTGGCTGGTGTGACTTTATTGGGGTGTCTGTGGTGTCTTCTGCATGCCTGGCCTTGGAGAACCCACTGTGACACTTGGCATTGCTCTTGGTATGGATGAAACCCCACCCAACCCTTCCTTGTCCAAATAAATTGAGTCTGAAGGGTTGAAGATGTAGTTAGTCACCTCCAGTGTGGTTTTTTGAAGCAGATTTGGTTTAGCTGGAGCTGCCCTGTGAAAATTCCAGCCTTTTCCCAACCCCAAAACACAGTTGCAGGTGGGTTGTGAGGACAAGGATTTGTCACATCAAGCACCTGCAACACCAGCACGCGGCAACATTTTCATGGCACTGCAGGAAAATCCCAAGGGATTTGGAGGAGGAATCTCCTCCTCCCTGCTGGCAGCCAAATTGCAGAGTTCTGTGGCTAATTGCACACTCCAAGTGTCTCCAACATTGCAAATCCATGGAAAAAATTGCCATCCTTGCCCTGGGAACATCACAAAGCCCTGCTCAGCAGTCAAGGTGTTTTATACCTCTCACTGAACAAAAAGAGTTGCTTTTTGTCCCCAAAAAGATGATGAGTACAGAGGGCTACAACAAAGCGTTTTGGTCCTGTGGGAAGATTGATGATGGATTTGGGCAATGCTGTTTGTTTTTTTTCTCCCCCTACAACCAAGCTCTATTCAAAACCCTCCCATTCAGCACCTCCTGAAAATTAATTGAGCTGCTTTCTGTGCCTTGGACTTACTTGCATATTTTAGCCTCCCCTTTCTAAAACCACTTAAAACCTCAGTCACTCTGGGAATCGCAACATCCAAAGGCTGGGAAACCACCAGGTAAATACTCCGGTGTTATTTCCGTGGAAATATTTCATTTTATTGTAATTGAGCGAGAATTAAGATAATTTTTAATAGTGACATACGGCAATTACCACTGAAAACGTTTCTGAGAGACTTCTGAGTTGTTTATACCATTGCTGGAAGTGTTGTAAAAACAATGTGAAATTCCTTGGGAATTGGACTATTTGTTTCTGTCCAGGGGATAATTTCCTGCAGCAGAAGTGAACTATTAAATTAATCACGCCATATTTAAAGGGCAGCATTTGCATTGGTCTGACCAATGAATCATAACCAACAATTTCCTTTTTATAGCTGAAAGGGGAGGAGAACACACAAAATATTAGGAAATGATCCATGAACAGCTCTCTCCTACAAATGACAGCTGTACATTGGAAATTTTCATTTAGGAGAACAAAAAACAAATCCCAGCTTGGTGAAGGCCCCTGGAAAAGTCCTGACCCTTGTTCCCTTTTGTGAGTAATTGCAGCTTTTTAGGGGTGGAAAGTGGCTGGTGAGGTGTCCCAGACTGTGGCTTGGGTCTTAGTGGGTTTTTTGTGGCATTTGGGTTGTTTTTAATGAATTCAGTGCTGGTGTCCTTTAGGGAAAATCTGGTTATTTTAGCATTAAAAAGAATTAACTTGTGGAATTCTGTCCCAAGTAATCATGTGAGAATGGCTATGAACAATAGCCACATCAATTATAGCTAAAGGATTCTTAGTCCAATGGGCTCAGACCACGAACTCCTTAAATTCTGCCATAAATTCCGAGGTTTCTGTGAATTATTGCCGTTATTTTCATGAGCTGCTGTTGGCAGCAGCATGAGAGATGTTCTGGTTCTCCCAGTGACTCACTCCTGGCCTCAAGCAAAGCACTTAAAGTGTCCGTGGCTCACCTGCAAAAGGGACAGCAGCGCTTTTCTCCGAGGTGGAACTGGTGCCAGCCCTCCTGAATTAATGTCTGAGAGGTGCCTGAAGTTCCCAAAATAAAAGATACCTTCAGCAATTCAGCATTGCCAGGGAAAATCATAATTCCTTGTGGTTGATGCGAAAGGAATTTGAGGTACTGCAGTCACCTTCTGTTAAATGCAGAGAATTCCCAGGTTTCCTCAAAAATTGAAGGGGTAATTGATGATAATTTTTTTTTTTTTGAGTTAATGCTGGAATCAAAGGAAGCTGACAGCCTGAATTTGTTATATTAGAGACAGATTGCAGCTCTGAAGTCTCTCAGTGTCACCTTTGGGAGGTTGGGAGAAATGATGGCTCTTAGTGACAAATCTTTGCATGTTCCTGGTCACGGAAATGCTGCTTTTGGTGAGCAGAGCTGCCCAAACTTTCTCTCCAAAGCCCCTGAGACTTGCTTGTCCCCTCTGAAGGTGACAGTGGCTCTGGTGAAGATCTCTGAGTGTTTCAAGGGAGTTTGGATGCAGCAGGAGGCAGGGAATTCCCTCTGGGATGGAAGGAATGGTGCAGGGATGGTGCCTGGAGGAGTTTTGCTGCACAGAGCCATCAATCCTCCTGCTTGATTCCTTTGGTAGAAAATAGGACTGTTTGGGGTTCAGATAAATCAGATCTTGGCTGTCACCTGGCTGGCTGCTTCCATAGGGATGTGGCTTTGGAGAAGCCTTTCCCTACGCTGTCTCTGAAGGTGTCCAAGCCTTTTGTGGCTTCTCAAATCAGTGCTGTGCTGTTTGCTACCGGTTCCTAAAAAACATTCAGGATCCAGATTTCAATATTCTGCTTTTTGATAGTTTCTGGTTTATTTTGGGGGCTTTTCTGTGTGTTTTTTTGTTCCATGCACCTCCTGGGGAAGGTGAAGTGTAGTTATGGCACAACCAGCCTGACACTGATGGCACCAAAAAGCAGCTCAGCTCTCAACCTTACTGCTTAAAAAAAATTATCTAAAAAATCAGACTAAGATTTTCTGTGGACAATCTCCATCAGTTAAAGAACTGAGTTCTTGAAAGCAGAATACAGGGAGAATAATAAAATCCTCTTTTTTAGGTGAGTGGGATATATGGAATTATAGAGTGGTTTGGGTTGGGAGAGACCTTCAAGACCACCTCATTCCAAACCCCTGGACAGCTCCCATTGTCCCAGTCTGCTCCAAGCCCTGTCCAGCCTGGCCTTGGGCACTTCCAGGGATCCAGGAGCAGCCCCAGCTTCTCTGGGCACCCTGTGCCAGGCACTGCCCACCCTCCCAGCCAGGAATTCCTGCCCAATCCCATCCATCCCTGCCCTGTGGCACTGGGAGCCATTCCCTGTGTCCTCCCCTGTCCCTCTCCAGCTCTCCTGGAGCCCCTTTAGGCCCTGGAAGGGGCTCTGAGCTCTCCCTGGAGCCTTTTCTCCTCCAGGCTGATGAATCCCAGCTCTCCATAGGTGGGGTGCTGTCAATCATCATCACACATCAGTAAAATTTTATTTAAAAAAGCCTTATAAAATCAAACCTTTCTCTTCTAGCTAAACTAGCTCATTAAGTTCCCCTAAAACAAATTGAAAAAATGAGAAACAATTGGCATAATAATCTATTTTTATAAAAACACAATTCACACCTATAAAACAAGTCTATCCCATGAGAATCCATAAAAAATATAAAAACTGTCTAAAAAAATTAATAAACAAATACACCAGCCCTTTACTAAGCAATGAACTAAACTTCAGTAAACTTCAGTAAACTCCAGTAAATCAGGTACAAACACAACACCTTCTAATACTATATAAAAATAAGCTGCATACAACAAAAATCAACTCTTTTACATAAAGAAACAAAAGTTTGTCTCATGTAATTTCTATCTATAATTAAAGCTGCAACAACAAATCATTGCTCAATCCCAACCCAGCACCAAAGTCTGTTCCCACCATGGGCGCTATCAGATTTTCATCCCAATATTCTTATCCAGCTGTAGGATTTTTTTTATAATCCTTTGAAAAGGCACAGGAATATTGCACTTCTCCACAGAAAAGCCGGAAAAGACCAAGAGATTGAGGCCTAAAATGCACTGAGCAGCATTTCCAGAAGTGCTGCTTTCCGCTCCAGTTTAGCTGAGAGAGCTTTTCCTACATCCAGGGCAGAGCAGAGATGCTCTCCCAGACCCTTCATTGGAAATTCCTGCGTGGTGTTAACCCAGAAAGTAAACTCTCTTTGTCTCTTCCAATAAAACATAAAAACCACCCCAGACAGTGTTAAATCCCTGCCTTGAGATAAGGGCAGCCACCTGACTCCAATAAAAATAAAATTAAAATAATAAAATTTAAAAAAATCCTTGTTCAGGATCATCAATGCCCATAGAGTGTCTGAGGAGGAAAATTGTATTATTGGTAAAAATAGAATGGAAAAAATTAGGGTAGAGAGCACTGCATTTCCCCCCCACACCCCCCATATTTATGTTTTTGAATTGTTTTTATTTTATTCTCCTTACCTTTCCTTCCAACTTTCTGAAATCCTTTTGGCTTTTTGATTATGCTCCAAATCCTCCCAACTGCATCAGCAAAAAGCGGCCTTTGGTGTTTGCCTCTTGTGGAGCTGGGGACAAGCCAGATTCTGTCACTTGTGGAACTAACACTTCTGGCAGAGCTTAAGACAGAATCCTGAAATATTGAATAATTGACATTCTTAGTTGCAAGTGGAGACTTTCATCGATAGGAGGTGGCTGCTCTGTTTGATGATTGCGGAGTGTCTGAGCAGGGGACAAATCCACGTCTGGGGCTCTGCTGGAGACGCTGGTGCAGATGGAAGGTGGGATGCACACCTGGAAGGCAGGGATTTTATTCAGCAGAGGGGAAAGGGACACCAAAACTTGGCTGAAATTAAAAATTAGAGCGTTATTTAAATGCTTTCATAGATAAAAAATTGGTTTAGTGGATAAAAGCGTTATGGGATGCAGTGCAAGGGGACAGTGAGAGCTGGAAGATGAGCACAGGGAGGGATTGAAAGGAACAAACCAGAGCTGGTGGTGGGTGAATATTTGTAACAGAAATTATTTAAATTTGGATTAATTGCATTCATTTTGGATAAAATATGTCTCAGCCTACTAAGAAAACAATGTTCATATAAAAATCTGAATGTCATTTGACTGGAAATGCTGATAAATGTCTTTGGTCCAACCCCATTTCTCTACAAAGAACTAATTTGGATTCTCAATCCATATTTCTTGCTGTTTAATTTCATATACTGTAGGAAAAGCCATGTTTATTGCAGATGAGTTCCTGGTATTTGGATTCTTTTAGTTTAAAAATATATTTTAATATTTTAGCTGTTGGTCAAACACACCCCACTCTTGAGCAGGAAAGCAGAATTGAAAAGGAATTTTCAGGTGATTTTTGCCTACTTAGAGAATGCAT